AGCTGAATCAATTGGTAAGGAGTTGTTTTGGTTTAATTTAGTGATCCCAGCTTGAGTGATGATGAGAATGCAGCGACTTTAAAATTAAACTTGATGGCAGAGCTCACTGCCCAAAAGTTTTTTGTAATGCTTGATTCGAATTAGTTTAGATTTTCTCTTGTCCTCTCAATTTGACATGAAATTGGTTGAGGACTACTGTATGCCAAAACTGATCTAGAGTAAGTGTCCACTCCCCCCTGCTTATTATATTGCACTTTCAAAAGCATATTTTGGTCTTTAATGTAATGCACATGAAGTGTTATTTACTATTATTTTTTAATTTTACTCCATTTATAAATTTAATTTTATGACTTATCGGATACTGTATATATCTATATCTTCCTATTTTTAATAGGAGTAAATTTAAAAAATTCTTTCATTTTGAAATATATGTAATGACTTAACTATCATTTTCAAGTTTTAGTGAAGTAATCCTTTTGTTTGGACTACAATATAAATCATAGTTAACTAATTTACAGTTTACAAATAATATTAGTTAAAATATTAAAATTCTTAAAAATGTTCACATTTTTTTTATTTATGCCGTCAATAAACACCCTACATAAGAGGTTTAATACTAGTAATTAACATTTTAATGCATGATTTTTTTTAAAAAAAGAAGTAATAAATAAAGTAAGGGTATAGTTGAAAAAACAAACATAAACGTTATCTAATATCCTATATTTTGAATCAAGTAAGATTTTTAGAATATGTCTTATATTATGGTTCAAAAGGAATTATTAAAAGTATAGATAAGAATAACAGAAAATGTGTCCAAAGTTGTGTCCAGATGTGTTTTGATGTGTGCTCTTTATCTGTTCCTTTTTTTTTTTAAAAAAAATGCAATTGTCTTTCTTTTTTTTTTTTTTAGTGAAAAAATACAATTGTCTTTCTATTGAAAGTATCCACGTGACTCTTGCTGTGAACATCTGCACTTCACCGTTATTTGCAAATTCCGCTTTCATTCTTCACCACTATAAATGACTAATTTTTAAAATTATAAATAATTACTTTATTTGAACTTTTAGAGTTAATTTTTTAAATTACAAATGATGATTGCTCTGGGGCATGAGAATTTAATTTGGGCTCAACCACTCTTTTAGATTTCACAAAAATTACTTATCATGCATCCAAAATAATCTGGCATTTGCAAATTATTAGGGTTTCGTCCATTAAATATTTTAAGCTAAATAATTGCCTTCGCATTCAATTTGGACCTGGCCCAACTTTTATGGTTTTTTTTTCCCCAAGAACTCTCACCCAAACCGAAACTTAAACTCATGCTCTTCCTAATCCTTTCCTCTTGTTCCAAACCAATAATTCAGGCCCAAGAAACTTTCTCTTCTGTTTTTTCTCCAGAAATCCTGTTTATGAGCCCATAAATTTTTCCTCTTACGTGTTAAGGAAGGGGATTTCAACCCCAACGCCGAAGATGAGGACTGAGTATGGCTTGCATCACATAACTTTTTAAGGAGGGGAAAACTTTTATAAATGTGCTGGTGTGGTTTTCGTTATTATTACGAAGCCTGGGTCGGAGCTGTAATTTTTTTTTTTTTTGGGTAAGCAGACTTTGTTGACAATAAAGATTATCCCCCTAGAAATGTTCAGAACGAAATGATAGATTTCTCTCATGATAGCTCCATGGTTGGAGTTGCAATATTTTTTTTTGGTGTGGTTTGTTGCAATTTGGGTTTGTTGCAATTTGAGTGGCCTCGGAATCCAAACATGTGTGGGCTTTAAGTCTATAAATATAAGTTGGGGCCTGTTTAATTAGTCCTTTAGCTCCTTCGGCCAATATTTTTAGGCGAACAACGTTTTGCGTTTAAATTGAAACAGAGAGTGACAGAGGGTTGTTTGATGGCACATAAAGAGGGGTGTCTTCTTCAAACAAGGAAAGATTGCGGCTTGGGTTTGAAACACCGGCTTCCCTCTCATTTCTTCAAAGTTCAAAACTGAGTCTTCAGGGGACCCTATCAAGTCAAGTGCATTTGGTAATGCCTCGGAGAAACTCCTTCATCCACAGTGTTGAATCCACGACGCCCCGACGATCCCCAAGATTCCTCCTCAGGGGAAGCACCACAGAACCGCTACTGCAGCCCAGGACTCCACGGAAAGCCGAGGATATCAAGTCTCTCGACTCTAAATCCACTCGAAAATGGGTATGTTGCTCGAAACCTTCTTCGCCTACCCATATTCAAATTGTTCCTTTGCCGCAGAGCCACAAGGGTTCGAAGAACAAGTCTTCCAAGAAATCCAACGATTACGGCATCAAGTCCAGAAATGGCAACACTTTCCCTGCTGAATTGAGAAGATCTTCTAGATTGAACAATGACGCTGGTGGCTTTCCTTGTCTCAGACGATCTTCCAGGCTGTCTCGTCCGAAAATTGTCTTTCGTGAGCTTAGAGATTCCCCACGTAGAGGTATGAAGAAATCGAGGAAACCTGATCACTCTTTGGGTGATTCGGAGAATGTGACTCGTGGGCCAAGAAAACCTGCCGAACTAAATAGTCGCGTTCAGAGTCTCAGACGATCTCAGAGGCTCCTGAACGAGAAACATGTTACTTCTCGACCAGACCGACCGATTAACAGTGCAAAATCTCTTGAAGTTATCGACATTGATTCAGATTTTTCTGTGGAGGAAGAATCAGATCAAGTAGTTGCTCATAAAGCTGAAGCACATGTTACTTCTCGACCAGACCAAGCGATTAACAGGGCAAAATCTCTTGAAATTATTGACATTGATTCAGATTTTTCTGTGGAGGAAGATTCAGATAATAAAGCTGAAGCAGGAGATAAATCGTTTGAAAAATCTTCAGGTAAAGGCGAACAGATGACAAGGGACGTTTCTGTTACTCGTGAGGAATTTACGATTGAAGGTAGAGAGGTGCGGGTGAGATATGAGGATAAGAATGAAGCTCTTGTCAAGGGAAAGAGAAAGCGAGATGAAGATAGTGAAGCAACTGCAAAAGGGTGGACAAAGGAACAAGAGGTGGCGTTACAGAAAGCGTATTTTGCTGCAAAGCCGACGCCCCATTTCTGGAAGAAAGTTTCTAAACTGGTATTTTCCTAGTATTTTGTATCTTTTTTACGTGCACCTATTTTCTTGATTGTCGATTACATAAACCTGCTTTCTGTCTTTACAAGTCTTTCTCCATGGTCGTAATGATTGAGGTGTGAATACTGAATACTTTTACCCACTTGTTTTGAAGGTATATTCCACCTGTAATTTATCGTTTGTAGGAGATCATAACTTGATTGAGTAACACCAACAGCTGAATAGCACGCTTTCAGACATCATTAGAATCTAGGACAACTTAATTGTTTTTGCGTGAAATAAGTCGAAGTCTTAAAGAAATGAAGTTTCTCTCGGTTTCAGAATCTTCAATTGAAGATTGATAGAAGTGGATTGGTTTTACTTCAACTGAGCTAAATTTTATAATATTAATTGATATTCAGACAAATTTGGAAACTGTCTATCTTCTATTTCTTATATACCATAAAGATGGAAACGTTATAACTTTTAGGAATTGAGGAGCGCACAGAAACGAGACAACTTTAAGCGCAAGTGAGACTTACTCCATTGAAGTGTACCTTGTAAGTGTTTCGAGGGAACAACACAAAATGCATTGCGATAAAGTTCCCAAGGGAAGGGGAGAGGCCTTGGTTTGTGATTTTCTTTATTTCCGTCTTTCTTTCTATTTTTTAATCCTTGGTTGATAACCTATGTGAAGTTAATGACATGAAATATTAATATTAGAGCGTATCATTCTTGTATTTGGAGTTAGCTTATACCTGTGGGTTCACTCTTGAATTCATCACTATACAAAACCTATTGCAGGTCCCTGGAAAGTCTGCACAGGATTGCTTCGAAAGAATACACCAGGACCATTTAACACCACCTCAACATCAGCCTCGATCAAGGGCAAAGAAAATGATGTCATCACCCCTTCAAGAAGTTGTGCTTTCTGCAAGTAAGCTGCTCAAACCTATTGTTAACAAAGCTAAAAGATCAAGTTGTTCCAAATCAAAGAGTTATCTCACTCAAAAGTCTCTCAGAAAGCTGTTACAGCGCAATAGTAAAGTTGATCGGGACCATGAAGGGGATTTGTTTTCTGTTCTTGAACCCAATGCGGACGTTTCTACTAATGCTTTTCCGCCGATTGATGCACTCTCTACTCCCGAGAAGCTAGATGAAAAGCAAGGATGGCGGCAAAGTTGCAATGATAAATCATCTTCACGCCATGGAAAGCCCTTTTCAAGACTCAGTAGTTCATGTGATTCAGATATTGTCAGTCCCCCTGTACTGAAGCAAGTGAAGAACAGGGTACTGCATGAGAAGTATATTAATCAATTACGCTGCCGAGAAGCTAGGAGAAGAGCAGCATCTGCACGAGTAGAAATGCCCAAACTTGGAAAAATAGTAACAGAAGAAAGCATCGTTCAGAAGAGTGGCGTGGTCGAATCTGCAAAAATTGCCTTGATGTCTGAAGCTAGAGATGCCATAAAAAAGTTTCAACATTTGCAAGCCAATCTCATGGATACTTGTAGCACTGATGAAGACATTGATGACCACGTTGAAGCCGAAACTTTTGGTGAAGATGAAAGTCAATAAATCTTGAGTCGATTGAGTTGTATCACAACATCTTTTAGCCACGCTGATTGCTAATTGAAAGACTAGTGTATAGTGGCTGACTTTTAGATGTAGTTTGGTCACAACCTAATGTTGGCTAGCTCTTGTAAATTTTCTCTCTAGCTAATAAAAATGGGAGATCCAATTTTTTCTGGGTCCAAAAAATGACTTGTGAAACGATTTTCTAAATATGATGCATCAAATTGGGTCTCAGAAATTATTATTTGCCACCTGTCTGGCTACTTAGACTGTCCCTGTTTACCTTGAGTCTTTGACTAGCCCCTGTGTACTCTACTTTGTATATAGCTTTAAAATAGAGGGGGTGGGGGATCTCCTGCATTTTTTTCCCCTCCATTTTTCTCCACTTTCCCAATCCCCACCATTCATAATGAGTGGTGGGGATTGAAAAAAAATGGAGACTCCCATGTACGCTTGCGGGCATGGGTGATCTTGATTGAAGCCTTGAACATGATGGATAGTTTGATGACTCGAGTACGTCTTCTCTGTCTGTTTCTTCCTCATCCCCTACCTTTCCCATCTTGTGAGGCCAGCCAACCTTAAACATGAAGCTCTTGGCGAGGACAGGTGAATTTATACCATATCACAAGCGACGATAACACTTTGAGTTCCACTGTCATATTCTTCAGGTTAGGTCCCTTTGTGAATGTAAATGATTTGTTACAGTGTCTCTTTAATTTTAATTTTTTTTTTATCCTTGCTTATGATGGGAAGGATCTACACGGTTAACTTCATCTTAGATTCACCACATAACCCGTGTTATCCATAATTCTTGAATTGCATCCTATGTTCCTAGTCAAAAAGGAGATTTTTCAACTCAGACTCACGATTATTGATGTCCTTGCTGCTAAAATCAGGACTAATACTCGTCCCTGTTATCTTGCATATTAGCAGTGCTGTTTCGCACTTTAGAGGGAAATCAGGCTGTAGATTTTCCCTGCTAGCTCATCGTGAAAGATACTATCAGTTTCCCTTGTACTTCTAGGGCTGCCTCCCAATCTTGCAAGTAGATTCCCCAATTTATGTGCAACCATTGAGAAATTATAAAGCTACAAGACAGTGATTCATTTTAAAAGTGGTCCATTGGCAATTCAATTAGCAACCTCGCTTGTCGGAGTGTTAGATCGGGTACCTGATAGAAACCACTATCCTTTTAAAATTGTAATATCCAGAAGCCGTTGGTGAGTGGTTTTGGTTTCCGCGCAAATATATAACCAGATGACAGACAATTATTCGCTAGATGTCCGAGGGGAAAAAAAACTCGCGATATATAACATATTCAGGAATCTATGAAATTAGCAGTTCGATTCCTCTTATGTGTTCAGCAATAATTCTACTTGATTGAAGCTTGCTTATTAAATTAATGCGATATTCTTCTGATGAGAACTCTGATGCTTGTACTGCGATACCCCAATATATGATAAAATAAAAGGTAGAGCTGTATGAAGTACATCATCAATCAATACTAATTTATTCCGAAAGAACATATAGGTAAAAATTGCTTCGTTTACACCATCTGGAAATTGTTTTAGATACTTGCCTAATGCTCATATCTTCGTCCTATAGACATCTCCCGCCATATCCGGCATTTCTGAACAGTGCTTGCTTTATCTCTTCAGAGCTAATGCTAGTTCTCTGCTCGGCTACCTGACGAGAAATAATTGTCATTAGTAAGAAATATAGATGATTTCCAGTAAGAAATTAGAGATTAAATCCCTTGGAATTTAGAAATAAGGCACTTGTAAACCTCTGAGCAAGATGCTTGCATCGAAAAATCATTGAAGCTGCTTATAACACATTGTTGAATCTCAAGGCCTAATGCTTCAAGGGTGTTCACTGTTGATAGCAACAATCCAGCCCTTGTGCCACAACAGATACTGACTTTTGTGTCCTGGTCTCTCTTCTCTACCTCAAACTGTCAAAAATATCAGAGAACTTGTATGTATTCAGTCAGTGGACCATTAATGAAATAATGCATCACTTTTAGGGTTCAAAACCATACCTTGGGCGAATTTCTTACCATCACTTCATTTGGCTTCATCTCTTTGGATTTACCCATGAGGTTTATCTGTTTTATCCCCTCTTCGGTTCTTTCTTCTTGCAACTTACCTATCCTTTCTAGAAGCTCCTTCATATAGTCTATGGTGTCTCCAAGAATAGAGGTCCTGTCCATCTGTTAATGTTGACATATCCGTATCAGTTCCAAGCGCCAACCATTGATCAAGTAAACTAAAAAATCGTAAATATAACATCTGGGCAATTATGAATACTACGTTTTACCTTGCTGATCTTTGGAACAATTGACCTTAGCATGGAAAGGCGATCATTGAGGCGCTTTCTTCTCCTTCTTTCTGCCATTAGATTCTTTGAGGGCTGCCCTTCCAGCTTCTTGGACTTGGGTTTTTTCTCCCCACACAAACCCATGTTGAAGACTGGAACTTCAGTGGCTTGTTCCTCAACTTTGCAGGCAGTGTTCATCTCTTCAAGGCTCTGATTTTCACTCCCCAGAAAGCCAAACTCTTCATCCTCTATTGATGGGTTACTTTCTTGTGCAGGAAATAGTGTTGAATCTCATTCCTGCCGAATGTAGAGTCAAGCTCTGTTACGGTGAATCCATCAACAGAAGGGTATGCTGCTGCTGCTTCATTAGTGTATGGACACTCAAATCTAGGGTCCAGTGGAGCGGAAAATGAAGGTAATAGAGGATTCAAAGGAGCTAAATGTGGGATCTCTTCAAAAGAATCAAAACTCCAATCATTATTGGGGAACATCTCGCCCAATCCAGAGGAAAAAGTGCTCCAAGTGTCTCTTCTTGGAGCTAGTAGTTCCTCCAGAAAACCGAGCTGAGTAAGCTCCATCACTTGCCTTTTACGTCCCTCTTTCCTTCCTTTGTATTATAAATGGGAAGGTGAAATTATGATCCAGACAGAGGAAGGCTTGGTGAATAATAGAGAATGAAGATGTGGGGAGGTATTTGTTTAAATAAAACAAGGAAGGGAGCCCATTTCTTTATCTCCAGAAAACCATCATCATTACAGAATGAATTACAGTAAAAAGTTGTGTAATAGCACCTCGAGATAGACTTTAGATGTAAATGGAATCTAATTTCTCTTTCTTGCTTTCTCGCTCCCAAGGTGAATAAATGTTGTTTCCACCGAAATGATCTCAGAGACAGGAATTGTGTGTGTTTTTTATTTTTTTTAATTCCCATGGTTTGACCCACAAATCTGTCCTTACTGAAAAATGGTGGGGTTACCGTCATGGACTGTCAGGTACTTCTTCCTGTTTTTTTTTTTTAATGCAACCCTCCCCCCTTCCTTTCTCTCTCCTTCCATTTCACTTTTCAGCAATATATATATATATATATATATATTATCTCTTTCTTTCTTTTTGATAACACCATAAAAAAAACATATTATATCTCCTTCCTTTTCACTTTTCAGCAAAATATAGTATATGTGTATATATATCTGATGTCTCTTTCTTAACTCCATTCAAGTGAAATGACAATAAAATCTTTTCCACTTTACTCCTCAATTTTCGAGACCTTTTATTTTTGTCTTCTTTTTTATTTAATAAAATTCTCTTTTATTTTTATCTCTAATCTGTTTGATAACTGACTTAAAAAAGCAGCCCTAAGGGCCTTGGCTGCTCATCGTTTTTTTCCCCGTTTTTAATTTCAGGTCTATAATTATGACTGTGCAAAAAAAACGAAATTATATTAAATTCGAAAGATGATTCCTCCACCTCAAGGATGGACGCTGTAAAATCGTGTCTAAAATTATTACAGCGGACATGTCGAGCGAGCTAAATTAACACAAAGCTTAATATAATGCTCATTTCTAATGTGATGTGAAACATATTAGAATTCCGTCATTAGCAGTGACATTCAAAAAAATTAATCAATAAAGGCATAATTTATACTTAAAATAAATATTAATATTTTTATAAAATAGATACTCTTAAATATCTATTAAATTATGGTAATGGTATAAGTTAATAAAATTAAATATTAAAAATGCATAAAACATAATGTTATAATGATATAAAATACTCTCTTTATATAAGTTCTTTTTATATCTATTAGAATCATGTTTTTAATTTTTATTAAATAAAATTGATATACCTCTTTTGTATAGTGGAGAATTTTTTGTGATAACATCTTTTATAAACAATTTCTTTTCTAAATTTCTGCTTTTCCATTTTAAAAATATTGCTATTTAAGTTTATAACATGCACACACATATAATTTTAGATAATGGAATAAGCAATAGAAAATGTATCTCTATTATTCATACTCATTGGTGTAAATCTATTCGGCCAAATCTTTTAAGGGATTATAATGTTTGTAAAGTATCTTATCTTTATTATTAAAAACCCTAAGTCTTGGACTGCTTCTTATTAAAATAGTTCTACTATCAAAGCTATGTATGGTGAAGCAACTGCTAAGTCCATACTTAGCACTGTAATATCATTCACTAATGAAAAAGATAAACATATATGGGGCACATGACATTATTATACGAAAGAGGGTTTCACTAAGCTAGCAATTATTACAACAACTAGCGCTTATGTAAATGAATGTGTTTGAGATTTTCTTTGAAAATTGCACATTCCTTAGAAGACTCTGTTGTTTATTTGGAAGTTAATTCACATGGCTATTTCTATAAGTGATGTTTTAAACAATCATCATTAGAATTGTTCTTTGCATTGTGTTTTTGGTTGTGACACCTAAGAAATCATAAATTATCTCTTCCATGAATGTCCAATCATTAAAGCTATTTGGTTTAGAACTTATCTATCATATCTATATCCATTTTAAAGATTGGTCTCTCACAATAGATTTTGCAAGTTTTGAAGACTTTGTATCAAAATCAAGAAACAAAGTTGTTAATAAGTATTTTGCTCTTCATCAAATTTGATTGTTCAAAAACCTTTCATCAAAATAAGAAGAGATAATTTGAATCGTTCATTCAAGTTTTGAAGCAAGATTTACTCTTTACAAGATTTACTTGTAATTAAAAACATGCTAATGGATTAGATCCTTCAAGTCATCATACATAAAATACAAAGAGGATTGGAACATTATCGTATCAATTGCTATATTGGGAAATTCACATATGTAAGTTCAAAAAAAATGAAGAAACCTTACTGTTTCGTGAACATTTCCTTGGATGTTGCAGAACTCCATCATCTCATTTTTTATGGATATGATTTGATAGCTCTTGATTTCTTCATGGCACTCAGTCTTTGAAGTGTATTCCTCTAAATCTATAGCTTTTGGTAAAATATTAGGATTCCTATATCTAACTTGGTGACTTAGTGCTAATGCTCAACAAAGGAAATTTATTTCCTCCTTTAGGTCAAAGTACTGTCTACCAAGACAAAAGTAGATGCTCCGTCAGTTTACTCATGTATCTTTCCAGAAGTATGATTATAGTTATACTAACTACAAACTGTTTGTTTTTGCTTTTGCTTTTATTATTAAGTTTTGAACCTTTGATTTTGTATTTTCATTTTATTTGTTAATATAATGTCTCTTGTATTAAAAAAAAAGATAATGGGATAAGTCAACTTTTATAAAGAGATAATTGAAATTTTTTAAGAGGAAAATTAAAATTATTTAGGGTTATCTTAAATAATTTCTTCTTAAGTTAGCGGGGCTGATTGCCCCCTCTATAATAAATGCGGGTCCATCCTGGGCTTAAGTATAACAAAAGATGAAAGTGCAATAGAAAAGTTAAACTCATGTATTAGCATTTGAGACTTTAGATTTCTTTTATTTAAAAAAAAAATAGACAATGAACTTCGTTGAAGTCTCAAGAAACTTACATCTCATGTATAATATACTCCCTATTTTTGTATGTTTAAAATGTTTTAAACCAATACTTGCATACTAATAAAAATATATTATTTAGTTGAAAGTACATCCAATAATATCACAATTAATATTATAATTATGATAAAGCACACAATTGATATATCTTCTCCTTTTCATGACCATAAAGACAACATTATCTAACTACTCAAAATTATTATGACACTTTTTATATTTAAAGACAGAACAAATTTTGAGAAACTATTCTATATAGGGATGGAGGGAGGATTTTTTTTATTATTATTTACAAGTATTTTCTTATTGAATATGATCCTATTAAAGACACAGTCAAAAGCTAAATGTAGACACTTTTTCCTATTTTGTAGACGATTAAGCATTGCATGTATACACTTTTTTCAACAAAAATTAAAATTGTAATTGTTACGTTGTGAAGAATTATTCTCTTTCACTATATCCAACCTTAGTGGTGGAAGGAGTAATTCTCATATCAATTCAAATGATCAATCAATTATCTTTAATATTAGGCCCATATGGGGTTTAGCGAAAACAATAGAACTAAGCTACTATCCAACACACGATGGCAACATATAAAAAAGATAGCAACACATCAAAGCTATGGCTGATGATTTAACCCAAAATGCTACTATTAATTTCTTCAATCATTACAAAGTGCCAAGTTAATGACAGTTTCATGACAGACAAACTACTTCATCAATCAACAATGTCTTGCTTTATTAGAGGACTTTTAATTTTTTTGGATAATTTAAAACAAAAAATCATAGACAATTAAACTTAAGGCTTGCTTGGTTTTATTTATATATTTTTTAAAAAACTATTACGTAAACTGATTTTTTTAAAATATTTTCTAAAATAAATCAAAAATATTTTTCAAAATAAATCAAAAAGAAAATACTTTTTTATTATTTTAATTTAAAAATAATTTTAGAATTAAAAAAATTAACTAATAGTGATACTGCTGGCTGTTAATAATGATGGTTTGTAATAGTAATTGATCAAATTAATTACATTTTTAATAATTAAATGTAGTGTATTTTAAAAATAAAAATTAAATAAAAAAATTTAAGATGTATCGATTTTTTGTTTTAAAACAAAATATGTTACCTGTGCTTTCCAAAAATTGATAACAGTCATGAAAACAATTAAATTCAAAGCCCTTATCTAAATAAGTTTTTTAATTTTATTGTTTTCCAAAAATAAAAGATAACTTTTGAGAACAGAAATCAATGATCTGGTTTTAGTATGATTAAAATTCTCTTTTTGTTGAATCTTCTTGAATTCTTGCCTTTAGATTAAATATCTCCAAGAATTTTCTCTTTTTTTAATTTAAATTGCTTATTTCATAAACAATTATTCTTTAACAGAAGGTGGGGGTTTGGCCACCAATGGAGAAGGAAAGGAGTTTAAAATTTTAAAAAATAAGAATTCCTACATTTAGTCTCCTCAATTCACACAAGACGGAAATATTATATTTTGTTCCTGATTTTTAGATTTTTGTTAGATAGATACTTTTTTATATGCAGAGAATTGATCTCTGCATTTAACAAATCATAGCAAATCATTCAATGAAATTAAAAATACCTCGGACTTTATCTCACTCATACCCAACAACACACATAGCATCTAATAATATTCGATCGAGTTTTTTCAACATCTAAACAATATAATTCCCGAACTATTTTCATGCATGACTTTGACAATATATTAATTCCAACCTAAAATTTTAAGGAAGCATTTATCAATTTTCTATATTAATTTTCTCCACTCTAATGCTTTATTTGGTTGGTGAGAAAATATGAGAGAGAAGAAAATGTGGGAGGAAAACAAGAGAGAAAATACATTTTTTTTATTTGGATGAAGAAGAAAAAGTGAGAGGAAAGAAAGTTGAGAAGAAAATAAGGTGTGAAACTCACTACATTTTCCTCCCAACTTTTCTCCTAAAAGGTGGAGAGATTTTGAGAATAAACTCTTATTTTCACTACCTATCCTCCCTTCTCTCCCCCTCTTTTGCCACTTCAACCACATTAATTCCTCATAGGTAATTAGATTATGATTTCCATGAAAATTTGTGTCTTTAGCTTTCTAGAACTAATTTAATTTTATTATAATTTGATTTGATGATGTTGATTTTAATATAATTAATGTGATTTTAAGAAATAGAAATAAAATTTGCATCTTTAGCCTTCTATGTTTTTTTATCAAGTAATTTGATTTTAAATTAATTTGAGATGTTAATTTTAATATAATTTATTCTTTCAATTTATT